TCTATAAATAAGAAGAAAGCTTCGATGTACTCCTCACTCATCAAGCTGGAAGTCAGTGTATTAATTAGGACTCTTTGGTTACAAGTAACAGGAAACAACTCACTCTAGCTTAAGCAAAAAGAAAAACTAACATATAATGATGGAGAGATATCTCATGGAACCTAAGGTCAAAAATTCAGCCACCATTCAGGAAGGCACTGGAACAAAGAATTGGGAAGCCTTCAGAATTCTCCATCTCACATGTCTATCTCTCTTTAAGTATCTACTTCATTCTTCTCCCTCTTTGAATACCAGTTGACTCTGCTTCCCTGGTCCATGTGGTGACATGTGGCTAGCTCTTAGCTTCTTAGGTTCCTTGTAGTTTCTGCTACATTTAGAAAGACACTTGCTGTCTCTCAGTCCGATTCCAAATCCCAACCCCAGCTGAATCAAGTGTCCACTTCCACTTTAGTCAGCCATGCCCAGGTTAGAAAGAACCTGCAGTACAGCCAAAGATGGAGTAAGGATGGGGCGGGGAGAACTTATGACCAGACAGGTATCTCAAATTTGACATTATTATTCCAATCCAAGTGTCTAAATTTAGCTAAACAAAAACCCAAAAAAGAAAAGTGAATGGACAAGTGAAATGGATCTATTTATCCTCCCTTGGTGTGCCCCGTTTTTATCAGTGCTTTCGAAGTTTCCTCCACTTTGAGCAAACCGTTGCTGGCTTCCTGCTTCAGGTTGGAAGGCATCGTGATGGCCTGGAAGCCCATATGGACAAGATCACTAATTTTACCTCTGCTTGTTCCATTTTTCCAACATCAAACGTACTAGTTATAAAATTGTGGATTTTCTCATAAAACCACCCTCTGCAAAGAAACATAGGATTATTATCTCTTCTCAAGCAGCTGCTTTTTCTTCTCCTAAACCCCTGTAGGTATAAGCTAAAGCTTCCTTCTTATAAGAAATGCTCGTCTTAAGAGAGAGAGATGAGTGTGAAAATGCCTTTTTACAGACCCTCTGTCTTCTCCTGCTATGGGGATTATTTAAACATGAAGAAATTTCATGATGATTTGAAATTGACTACCCCCTCCATCTCCAAGTGCTTCTGGATCACCTCCCCAGCTGTTTAAAAAGTTGTTGAGCCATTAACTGCTGCTGAGGCTGCTCCGAGCTCCCTTTGAAATGAGGGTCCCCCAGCTGCAGTACATAATATTAATGAGCAGTAAGTGACTGCCTGCTGCTCCCTCCACCAGGCCCTTCTGGGTTCTGACAAGTGCTCTGGCTGCCTCTGCGTGACCTCCTGGCCCATCACGCCTCCAGAGTGATGGATGCCCCTGTCAGCACTTCTGTTTCCACAGCTGATTGGACGCCTTTAAATCAGCTTCTTCTGAGAGCACAGAAGTTGGGGAAGCTCTTTGCCTTTCTCAGTGCTCTTTGCTCAAGTACTCCCAGTGCTCTTTAACAGAAAGCAATTGTCACCCTCCAGCCCATTCTACAGATGAGCAACAGAAACAGGATCCAAGTCCCATAAAAGAGGGAAGAACTAGGTCCTGAACCAGATGTTTCTTAAACCCGAGTTTGGGGCAGGAAAGAAGCAAGAGTCCGTGTTCACTTTCCAAACCAAACACATGGTTAAAGATTTCCAATGCAGATGAGCAACTATAGAAGGGTCATGCTTGTATACATTTAATTTCACACCACGCCTTCACTGAAGGAGCAGAAAGTGCTTTAGGAATTGTAGCACATAGGATTCTACTTCATGAATCAGTTTATTAAATGAGCTTACCTTAAGAAAGTTGCTACAAGAAGGTGAAAATCAATATGATGTTGCTGTCTCATTTCATTAAAAGTAAATGGCTGATTTCCCCATGCTTTAACACATCATGTACAGAGACTTGGTTTTTGGTGCTTGGTTAAGGGCTAAGCTGAGTTCTTGTCCCCCATGTCATTTCGCTGAAGAAGCATGGCCTCAACTATTTCTCTCCTTAAAGGAAGCATTCTGTGGGGGTGGAAGCATGACACCTAACACATGTATTGCCACTGTGCACCAGGCATTGCTGTAGACAGTTTGTCTAGACAGGTTTAACCCTAACAAGAACCCTCTGCGGTAGGGACTGTTAGAATTGCCATCTGACAGGTAAGGAAGGTGAGAGGTTAAGTGACTTACCCAAGATGACCCAGCTGTAAATAGCAGGTCCAGGATTCAAACCCAGGCAGTCAGGCTTTAAAGCTCATTTTTCAATCACTAGACCAATGCTCTCCATGTTGTATTTGTGTGTCATAGGAAACACAGGGAGTTCATTACTTGTCCCTCACCAAACCAATAGGTCTAACCAAATGGAACCTTCCCTCTCTTAATACGATAGCTTCCTTCTCTGCCACCTGGAAGGGAGCTAACTTTCCACTCAGCTCCCAGGACTGTTTCAAATACAATACAGAATTTGCTTTTCAGTTTTGAAAACCAGTTGTAAATTTAGAAGATGTGAGCCTCTGAAACAGTGTTTCTCAAAGTCTATTCCGTGGACCCACTACATCAGTATCCCCAAGGGATGTTTATTTCAAACGTGGAGGCTGAGCTCCACCAGACTTACAGAAACAGAATCCCTAGGGGTAGATCCCAGTAATCTGCATTTTTAGGAAGCACCCCAGTGATTCCTATGCACAGTAAAGATTGACAGTCATTACAGAGTTGCATCTGGAAGTTTCAGGAGCTCTGCACATCATGAATTCAACTGCAGATGATTATAGAAAGCTTTCAAAGCCTCTCTTCATTCAATAGCTATTTCAGGGAGAATTGTAATGTGCAAGGAGTGCTCCAAAATTGTTGTAGTCTCCTTCTGTGTGAACCAGCTGCTAAGAGAGCTTGAGTTATTTCCCAAGGGACTGCAGTTACATGGACACTGGTACACTCTTTACCTATGAAAATATAGAAAAGATACAGTTTTCCACCCTGGACCCAAAGTGAATCTTCCAGAATGGGATACTGATCATCTTTCTTTTTGCTTAAAACCCTTCCAAAGACCTTAATGCAGACTATGAGACCTTGCCTTATCTGGCCATGCCCACTTCTCCAGTTTAACCCTCAAACATGCTCACTCACTGCCCCAGAGACACTGAACTTCCCTCGGTTCTTCCAGTGCACCAGGCTCCACAGCGTCTTTTCATATGATCCTGGGGCATCTTATGTACCCCCGGCCCAGCATCTAGTTAGCTCTCACTCTTCCGTCTGAGCTCAGCTTAAATGGCACTTTCTTAGGGAAGCCTTCTTAGACCTGCTACAAGAAGTCAGAATGTTCTGTTATCTACCACTTGTCCTAGCACCATTCCTCCATAGCCCTCACTACATTTTCTCAGTCTCCTTTTGGCTATGCGGGAATCTCATTCACATCTGTCTTCACAAGTAGATTATAAGCAAGAACCATGCTGTTCTGCGCATTCTGGTTTCTAGCAGAGGGCCTGCTACAAGTTTAAATAACTCATAATGTTGGAGAGAAAGTCTTGATTCTCCATTTAAAGTTTAACATCCATTCTACAGACAAAGATTCCGCATTTTTCATTTTTATTCCTATCATTAAATAGCAATGGAAATGGTTAGGTTGGAAAGTCTGAATCTCAAACTTCTCTATGTGTTCTAGATCCCTTTAATGAATACGTCTACAGCTCTAACCCTGATGCTATTTTTAAATTGCTCATAGTATGGTTATAGAGTCATTAGTTGTTAAAAGGAAAGTTAATGAAAGAGTGGAAATTTCTGCTTCTGAAAAGTCACAAAGTAACTAATTATCTATTTCCTCTTTTGCTTCAAAGGCTGAGATGGATTCTTCTTATTGAATAGGGTAGGGAACACGGTGAGCCTAATTGGTGATTAGATGGGTTTTATTTAATTTTGTTTTATCATCTCTTTCAAGCGTTTCTTTGGACAGCTTTATGAGCTATCAAGTTTATCTTTCATAAAAGTTTTCTCTGTATAAGACTCTTATTCGCATAGTAATTTGATTACAGTGGCATTTGGTTTTAAATTGATTTTGACACTAAATGATAGATTCTAAGTGTTCCTAAATTATAAGTATGTTAAAAGTTAGAATTGCTCCCCTCCTAAGACCTATGTAACATTTACCAAACTGTGGACATTTTAAATTATTATAAAACACTGTCTTTTAGGTATCTGAACTCAAAAAATTACATTCCACATGATACATATGTATGAAAACCTAGCAATTATAAGTGGATATTCTCCCACTAGTTTTTAAAACACCTCCTTAAGGAAGCTAAGTGCCAGTGACCTCCCAAATTCTCTCTTGATTAAATACAGGTTAAAGACAGGTTTCATTTTATGCATTGCAGTGGAAAAGGATCAGAGAGAGAGACAGGTGGGCCAGGGAGCTTGATCGCAAAGCAGTCCAGATAATTGTGGATCACACCTCACACAGTTTAGGTTACCCCTTCCTAACACTGTCACTTCCAAAACTAAAAATCTAATATCCATGTCATAAAAATTCATGTGGGAAATGAAAGATAATAACAGCTAACAATTGTGTTTCACGTCTACGGTGTTCTTAGCATTTTTATACAAAAACACACCAACCCATTGAAGTAGGTACTGTTACTAAGCCCATTTTACAAATGAGAAAACTGAGACATAGGGTGTGTCAGAGCCACACAGCCATTTAGCTGTTTTGGAACTGGGATTCCGGCTCAGTCAGCCTGCCTGCAGAGCACCGACTCCTCCTAATTAAGCTGGACTACCTCCCATGCACACTTTATTTAAGAACAATGAATCAGGAAGCTTGGTCCTGCTTTCCTTCTTTCTTTTCTCTTTGGAAGATGGGAGGGGGTGCGTTTTGTTTTGTTTTGTTTTGTTCGAAGGGAGAAGCTGAAAGTGAGCCTTCTTTCTTTCTGAACATCTTTTTCCAAAGCCGTTTCCCTTCATCTGGGGCCAGGAAGGACACTGATTCTGAAGACAGAGCACTAATGAGCTTCCCCTTTGTCTCCTTCCCTGTCTCTCGATTCTGCAGTTAATAGCCAAGATACCAACCATCACGGCAGTTTGCAACTTGCACGGGGAGAAACTGCAGGTATTTAAGCAATCGCATCCAGACATAGTGAATACACTCTTTCCTCCGTTATACAAGGAGCTCTTTAATCCTGACTGTGCCACCGTCTGCAAATGAAGGCGACGAGAGAACTGTCTCATAGTCATGGAATGCATCACCATTAAGACAAAAGCAATGTGTTCATGAAGACTTAAGAAAAATGTCACTACTGCAACATTAGGAATGTCCTGCACTTAATAGAATTATTTTTCACCGCTACAGTTTGAAGAATGTAAATATGCACCTGAGTGGGGCTCTTTTATTTGTTTGTTTGTTTTTGAAATGACCATAAATATACAAATATAGGACACTGGGTGTTATCTTTTTTTTTTTAATTTTATTTGGGTATGTTTGGGAGACAACTGTTTATAGAATTTTATTGTAGATATATACGAGAACAGAGCGGTACCTTACATGATTACTTTTCCTGTTGATTGTTCAAATATAATTTAAGACAATTCCACTTAATAGGCTTACCTATTTCTATGTTTTTAGATAGTTGATGCATGTGTAAATTTGTAGCTGTCTTGGAAAGCACTGTGCATGTATGTAATAAGTATATAATATCTGAGAATATTATATATGATTTTACTTATTCATGCACATGCACTGTGGCTTAAACTACCATACCTACTAGCAAAGGAGGTTCAGTCAGGCTCTCTTATATTCTTTACCTTCTGTGTTACATGTTACCTTTATGTTAGACAATCAGGATTTTGTTTTCCCAGCCAGAGTTTTCATCTAGAGTCAATGGCAGGATGGTACCAACTCAGAAATAAGTCAACGAAGGAATAAATATAATGCATGGCCTCTGTATAAAAGCTCTATTTCTATCAATGACGTCAAAGCCTTGTCAAGATGGTACATATTTGGGGGAAAAAAATAAGTACTTGGAGCCATTTTCCTGTTTTAAGAATTAGACCACAGATAATATTGTGGAGTTCAGGACTTTTTTGACCAAACAATAGATATTTCCTCTTTTTCACCAGGACACATAAAACACTATTTTTCTTTGGATTTCAGGTTGTGAAAGAAACTTGATTTTGGTGCTTATTGTGTCATCAACAGAGAAATACAGTCTGTAGATTATCACCACCAGCAATTTTTTCTAATAAAATGAGAGTAGAAGAGTAAATCAGAACCCAGGGTCCCAATGCCATTTCTTGTAAAGATTTTCTGTAACTATTTTTTTTTTTTTTTTTTGGCAAAGAAAAGCTAGAAAGAGAATACACAAAGTAATGAAGTAGTTCTTTCTATTCATTCTCTTTAATAAGTTTGATAGAAAAAGCAGCAATAAAGGGGGAAGCAGAACTTTATATGTCCTTCTAGTCTGGAGCCTCTAATTCTTTTCAACTCCAAAATGCTGTATTATAAAAATATAGCAAAAACTTGAAGATTAGAAGAAAATATTTGAGTTATTCTATAGAATGAATACACCCCAAAGCTAAAACTATTTCCTATGCAACTTGGAATTGCATCATCCATCTAGCCTGAGATTATGTTTTTAGCAACTTTTAGAAGTACAGAATGCAAAAGGTGAGATCAGGATTAGAGAATTTAGACTTAGTACAAGTTCTCACTTCTCTACCTGCTCTCCAATCAAACTGATCACCAGGAAAGCGTCAACTCCAAGGAGTTTGTTCTGCCTGTGTTCTGGAAGCCTTATGTCTTTGGTCTCGTCTGATCCAAAATGAGATTTTTAAAAAGGAAGCTGGAGGAGAGCTTTGTGTACAAGACAAGGAAAATTATGATCTCCTGTAAGAGTAGCCCAGCCACCAACTCCTGAAGACCTGCCCCTTTTCTCCTTGTCAAACACGAACATGCATGTACACGCGCACACACACACACACACACACACACACACACACTTGCTTCATAAAGTTTCCATCAGTGGAAACTTTGATTTCTTTTTAATCTCCTGTGCTCTCCCGAAGTCGCGTGGTTGAGAGCCATCTCCACAGTGCCACAGAACTCCTCATTGATGAGCAAACGGTAGTGTTAGTCTTTTCTTTTAGAAAACAGAGCCTTTTCCCACCTCATGATTGATGAATTCCAAACCAATGGGGAAAAACAAAAAGGCTTTAAAATAATGAATCTCTTTCTCAACTACTGTTATATTCAATTAATTTAACTACATTGAACCAAATTACCTTCAGTGTCTAAGAAGACAGCTGTAGACTGCTTATTATGCTGCTATAGGGACTCAATTCTTTTTGGTGTAAATGTCACTCCTGCTAGCTCTTTGTATAAAGAATTAATTCCAAGAGTCATATTTCCTTCTAATGGAAAGATTACTCTACTGATTGCTAGGAAAACAGGGTAATGGAAGGCACTCAATTAAACCAAGCCGTTTCCAAATGCAATGTATGTTTTATGATTGGCTTGTGATAGGCGATGCTTAATGTGTCTACTTGGTGTTTCCCTCTGAGCTTTGAACTTATGTCAAACTTTGTTTTCATTGTTCTGTTGGCCTAGTGTTTTCCATTGTCAGCCTGTAATTCCTGCTCAGTTGCAAAGGGAATCATTTGTTTCCTCTAATTTACCTTAGAGGATTTAAATTGGCTCAATTGATGAAGTGGCTGAGAATTTTTTCCTTACTTGTCCCATGGGTGATGTAGGAAAAAGATTGTTCCCCACGTCTGCCTCAGGAGGTACTGGATTTGAATTTGTGTTGTTTCCACTAGTGCAAACATTTCATTGGGACGGCATGAACCTTTTGAAGCTAGGGGACAGGAAACAGCTAGCGACTGAACCAGAACAAAACAGTGGAAACCAGTACACATTCAGTTCACTTCAGTGGAGAAAAAAGATTTACATTTTTTGCCACAGCTGCCAAATCTGCCTATTAGAAGAGAACCAAGTCATATTTTCAATGGTAACAAAGCACCTTTAAAAGTTGCCCTTTGAACATCTCCTGTGACTACATGTCGAGGTATTTTGAAATTTTGGTAAGAACTTTCTTTCTCACATGTAATCTCTGTCCCTTCCACATGAAGACTCACAAATATTCTCAACACATTCATGGTAAAGCGTGCACTGGAAGAAAGCACCCATGATCTGTACTTTTCAATTCATGCTTCGTAAATGACAATCACTGCTTGATGCAGATGTTGCACTGTATCCACTCAGGGATGTTTCATTTAAAAAAAAAGGTACATCAAGAACAAGGGGGAACAAAACAGGAAAATGACAACAAATTGTAAATGGCATAAATTAAATATGCCAATGAGAGAACCTCTCTGACAAGGCTTTCAGACCAACGAGCTGTAACTTCATGTTGTAAACTGTTTGGACTTGCTGAAAAGTTGCACATGAATAAGGACAACTTAGTCTCATTTTCTAAACTCTGCTAGGAGCCAAATAAGCCAGCTGCCCCATTTATAGGAATGTATATCTCCCAGCAAACCGAAGCTTCCTGTACAAGGAAAATACAGAAATCTAAGCGGTGTTAGATGAACCTGACAAGGGAGGTGAAGCTGTGTGAATTCAAACTGCAATCTATCTATGGTCTGTAAAAGGAAAAGCAAATTTTGGAGGGAATATAAGAGGATAAGGGATTCCAAATCTGGCTAAATATCTCAGCTATACCCCTACTGTCCGTGACTCAGTCACCTTTGTATCCCTTTTTCTGAGGCTTTTTTATCCTCAAAGACTGAAAGCTGAGGGTGGAGATGTGCTCTACAAACATATCCTTTCCGGATTTCCCTTGTTTTAATATTGTCTTCAGGGCTCTGTACTAAAGGGCCACTGAGTAGGTGAAAACAAAAAATATAGTGGTCTCTTGGGTAATTATACTTCCCTGGCAGAATCTGAGATACCCAGAATCGTAGTGAACCCTGGATATCAACAAGAGGTGCCAGGGAGGCATCAGGACATTTCCTATCATAGCTGCCTTGTTCAACACTTAACTTCACAGCAGTCAAGATAAACTGTAGAAAACCACGCACATGGATAGTCAACTCACGCTCACTCTCTACAATCCCATGTGTACTAGGCTTGAATGCAAAAGCAATTCTTGTGTCCCAAGGACAACCTAAAACTTAACGAGCATTTTTCAAAAACATCAGTCAGATGCAAATGATGTCAGTTTTGTTCCATGTTCTTTGTTTTCATTTATTACAGAAGCAAGGAAAAATTCTACTGCTATTGAAAATTAGAAGAAATAACTTTATCCTGGCTCTTTTTTTCTCTATAAACTTTTGTTTCCAATGAAGTTACTATGATTGGCAGTAAATTCAAGCAAGGACATCTGTGCCCTGACAGAGCCACCATTCAATAGAACAGCAGTAACTTTAAAATGTTCATCTGTAGTGAAACTTTGTACAAAGTCCCCTGTATAAAGAAGAGGAAAGAGCCCACTGTCTGCTTTAGACAAAGTGGCATTTGATTTTGTTTCCAATTGCTAGTACAAGCAGCAACCTAATATGGGAAACCATGCAGGTTTTTAGACACGAGTTGACAACCATTTCAGGGACGTGGGGGTGTTGCAGGACCAGAGGTATGTGTTTATTTAAAGCAAGGGTTAAAAATTCAAAAGTCTAAAAGGGCCAGAGAGTGGATGCAAATGAGTGAAGCTGTCCAGTGGCAAGCTGGCAAATAAATGCCCCATCTGAAACGGGACATCCACTAGCCAGCTAAAGCTCAAGTGTTGCTAAAGCTTCTGAATCTTAGAAAATCTCTCAGGTTGGAAGCAATGTCAGTTGATTCAGAGCTTAGTGCAGACCAAACAAATACACCTCTGAGCAGAAGAGGGCCCACAGTTTGCAACCTCTGGTTTAATGCAAAATTGAATGGAGGGGCCTGTTGGGCTGGAGCAAGTCTGTCCAGACACAACTGTGAATGATGTTAGAGCGGAGGGGGAGTATGGGGGAGATTTTCCCCTTCTGATACTCAATTTGGTTTCCATGTTTGACTATCACTAGAGAATATAGTAAGAGTTCAGTTGAAAAAGATAGCAGTCTGAAAATGCAAATAACTCAATGTAATGGTGGCTTATAAAAGATCCTTCTATTTGTCGTGCCCAAACTCCTAGCTTCCTAGAGCCAGGCGGCTTGATTTCTTGCCACTTTTTTCTGAAAGTCAAATGCACGATTTTTATGCTTTTGAGTCTCACTGTGTTTCTTTAAATGTGTGGCTTCAATATCTGCGACAAGTTTTTCTTTTCCCTTGGTTGTATATGAAGAATTAGTTCTCGAGTCATGACAACATAGTCCTCCATCGTTCTGAAGTGCGGGATGGCGAATTCCTATGCAGCAGATGGGGGTTGTCTGTTTGTGCACTTTTTCCGTAAGCTGCTGAAATTCCTCTGACGTGAATTGGCCATGGTCATCTTTGCCTCCTGCACGACCTCCAGTGGATCAGAAAAAGCAGCTCAGTGATTGTACTCGTGGCCAAAAATAAAGCACAAGGTTACTGGAATTGAATAAACCCAGTTGAGGCAAGCGCAGGTTACCCCAGCTGGGCAGCATAATCTGTATTAATCCTCACTCTTCTGGCAGTGGCTGAGGGAGAGCGTTTGCATGCCTCTGTCACCACCACATTCAGACACACATTAGGTACGTCTGAAAAGCTACAGAGCCCACATCCAAGCACAGCACCGTCTGCTTCATCTGATTAACACACACACAGAATGAAAACTACACCCACGGAAAATTGAGTATGTATTGTAGAAATGTAGAGGAAAAATAAAAATATTTTTTCAAATGTAATTACTTTTAATATATGCTTGTGGAAGGTCTAATGAGGTGTATGCTGTCTCTGTAATTTTTGCTGTAAATAACTGGAGACAGTGAATACACTGATTTTTCTATGTCTCTGTTTAAGCATAAGACTTTGTAACAATTTTTTTAGAGGGGGAAAACCAACAAAGAACAAATATGTACTGGCTTCCTTTCTGCGTGTTATGTATTTCTCAGAAACTGGTTGTAACGGTTTAAGCATCTTGACGGGTCATTGGTGTTAAGTGTACGCTTCTTTTTGTAATACAGCTGAGAAAGGGACAGGGCTGTCAATTAAATCTGCTCCAAAGAATTTGTATTGAAGATTGGCCTAAGACCTGCAAACTCTATCTGAACTAGACAATATGTAAAAGGAAAGTTAAAAAAAAACAATAATGTTGCCTGAGTAAGTCATCTTTCCTTGTAGCAAATGGCTTTGTCCAAATCCTTTCTGCATGGAATAGCTTAAGGAAAACAAACTCTGCTTTCTGATGAACAAAATATTTTTGTACACGTTTGTTTCTTATTAGTAACCTGAGGTCAGACCACTCATTCGCTGAAGCCATAACTGACCTTCACCAAATAAATGTTGTAAAGAACCTGGGGGAGGGTTGGGGAGAGACTCAGAGGGAAGGAAAATCCAAGGTGTCATGAGCTGTAACAACACAGGCAGAAGCAAATCCAACGAACCTGATGCTTTTCCTGCATCCCAAATGTGACTTTAAAAGGCTAGTATTTTATGATGATCAATTTATAATTAAAAAAAAAAGATATTTAGATTTAAATGAGACTTTCCAATATTTTTTAAATCCCTGACAATGCTTCCTTGCTTTTAGGATTGAGAGAAATGATTTTCGTATACTTCCAACATTCCGAGATTTAATGTTTTTTACCTTAGCTCCGGCCTACACATGTAAAGTGAAGAGCAATGCTAAGTCCTCCAGCAATTGGAACCATGGGCTGTCTGGGGCTTGGCTGTACCTACCAACCACGACTGCACCTTGGAGCAGCCGGCGAGGGTGCGGTCGATGTCTCTTATGAACATGCACACCATTGTTGGCAATACACAAAAGTTGCATTGCCAAACGTATGTAAAATAAAAATATTCACTCTAAAAAGCATAATAATTATACTTTTTAAAAAGAATAATGCCTCCAATAGTAATCACTGATTTTTCTGGAGCTTAATTACATTATTATCATGTATTGTTATTGACCTATAGAGGCAAAAGGCAAACCACAAATAAACCCTGTGACATATATAGTTTTAAAATCTACAATTTTCTTATCTCTCTTTCCTTGTTTAATATATAAGCCCTAATTTCTGTGTACGTGAGTAAAGCTGCAGCCTGAGTCATTTAGGAAGTAAGCATTGAGTTTTTTTAATTATAAATATACTAGAATAAAACAGCAATCCCTAACAATTAAAAAAAAGAGTTTTATATTACTTTAGAATGTAATAGGTTTTCGTCCTTATTTTATGTCTTGTAAATTATTAGTTGAATACTGTTAGCATTCCCTGATAATGCACACATGATTTCTGAATGTTTTCTGTAAATGACAATCAATGTTTATGAAGTTCCCTCCTTTAATGCTGAACAAAATTAAAAGAAGAAAAAGAAAAAAGTCTTGCCTAATTATTTCTTTCCCCCCTACAGGGAACAAGGAGGGGATGAAGAAGAAGATAGATTTGGTTTTGAAAACATTATCTCATGGGGGTCTTCCTGCAGAGGTGCCCTTCTTCCAGGAAATAATGGTTAATTTTTTTCTGGAAATTCTTGTGTCCTCATGGACCTGGAGCGAGTTAGAAATGTTCCTTGAGAAAAGACTCAGACTTCATTCTAGCCAAAGAGCTTACCATGTTGCAATAAAAATGAGAGCAGCATCTCTCAAAGATAATAGCTCTCTTTTTCTAGAACTTTCATAAAAGGAAGCACCAGCTAGCAGAGCCATAAGCAACTCCTCTGCAAACACTGTTGAAATAAGTTGCAGCAGGTTTGAAATAGATGTGACAATCCCTACATCTGATGAAAGCTTTTAGATAATAATTAATGTCTCTGGGTCTGATTTTTTTTTTTTAACAAAACATCACCAAGCTGCTCCACCACCGAAATCAATGCTCGCCGATATATGAATGCTCTCAGTCTTATTTGAAACTATAATAGGAAGCAATTGAGGGTAATCACAGACTCACAATGATGTTGAAAAAGGCGGTTCTAGGAGAGGCCAGCAATTTTTCAGGTGCTTGGATATTTTTGCAGGTTGGGGTCCCTAGAGATGAAATGCTTCAAGAATGGTAGTTTACAGCAAGATCTAACAGATTTAAAACTAGAAGCACTGGCCCATACCAAAGGGCATGCCTTAGAAAGCCTTCAGTAAGGTTTCTCCCAACTTCAGTCTTTGGAATCAGTGGAAATCCTTGCAGTATGTTTCAAGCAACAGCTCCACCCAAGACGTCCAGAGCCCATGTGGCCCTGTTCAGAGGACAGGAACAGAGAACTGCACACACGCTTCTGTGAGAGCGCCATTTATGTCCCTCAGTTTCTAATCAGGTCTTCAAGTGACTAGTCAGAGACAGCAAATATATAATCATGACCTATCCCAGGCTCATGCCAATTGCCACCAACAATTGATCACGGAACTCTTTATTGTAAAATCATCTCAAGTCTTTTCAGAAACCTAGATAAGCAGGACTGAAACACAAGATGAAACTTACCATTTTTAAATTCAGATTGGACCATATAAGACAATAATTAACTTTTAATAGCATTACCAAAAAGTTTGAATTAAGCCCTTTTTTGCACAAAGCTTTGTTCTGTTCATAGATTCTCTCCTTTATTTAAGAAAAAGAAATGGCAACATGTTCCCATACTTACACGAGGCTAGTGTGCATGAGGCATTTCAGTTATCAAAGGAGTAGCCAGAGTTTGGCTCCATACCTTAAGTGGCAGCAGCTCCTTGACCCAATTAGAGAAGAGGTGGAAGTGAAGCAAGTTCTCTAATGCCATCTTGGTAGGAGAGTATCTCAGATACCGAGCCACCATGCTTAAAAGTTTCCTTTCACTGTTTCCTGAACTCGAACTTGCTAAGTTTAACTGATTGAATAAATATTATTCTAAGAGACTGTAAAATTCTCGACAGCTGTGTCTCACAGACCTTAAAATCTCCCAAGTTCATGGAGCAGGGCATGGCATCGTGTAAGCACTCAATACATGTGTCAAATACATGTACTGGGGTCCATTCTCCTTGTGTAATTTGAGCTGCCCAACTATCTATGTGCTGTTATTTTACTGGTTTTGCCCTTGAGCAAATCACCCGCCAGCAGAGGCACCAGACACAGACATAATTTTACCATAAGCAATGAGATGGGAAATGGCAGCCAATTGGCAAAGGGCAATGGAAGAACACTCTTTCTCTTCCTTTCTCCAAAAGAGATTTCAGAGAAGGCTCAGTTAGGCAGAAACAAAAAACAGAGAGGTCAGGAAGCCTAATCTGTAAAACAAATTGGACATAAAAGCCTGGTCCTGGCATGTCCCTCTCAAATCCCCCAGTCTGGTTTCATCAAATCATAAAGTCTCAGTCAAAAAGAGGAGAATCTGGAGAAC